TCAGCGATGGACGTGGGAGTTTCCCATGGAGAGTACCATAACGAAATAGATGACATCATAGTGAATCGAAGGTTTTGCCCGACCGACGTCGCTGTTGTTCCTAAGTTCTACACGGGATCAGATCATCGCCTCCTTCGCGCGACATTCCGATTTTCGAAGAGAGGAGAGAAAGCCGCTAAATTCAAACAACGAAGTTCCAGAACTACCATATACTGGGATGTATTCAAGTCATTAGTCGGCTCTTGGGAAGATACCGTTGTCGACAACATCGACGAAGATTACGATCGACTTCTTGAATATCTTCACGTTAGCGCTATAAAAGCCGAGAGTCCTAAGGTCATGAAGAGACGCTTATCTCCGTAGACACTTGAGCTTATACGTCAACGAGGAATCGCACGAGTTGCAGGCAACCGAAACCTTACGTCCGAACTTGCAAAACGCTGCAGAGAAGCGATAAAAGAAGACCTTAAAGAGAGGAGCAGCAGTTATGGCAGAAGTTGCAGAAGCTGGGAAGAGCATTCGCAAAGCCCAGCCAGGCTTCGCCAACTATAAGACCAAGATGATTGCACTCCGATACCCTGACGGGACACTTACAGCTTCCAGAAGGGCTATGGAGAAAATCATCCACCAATACTACTCGGATCTCTTCGCTAGCCATGTCCTCTTACCGTCATATAAATTGAATGAGGACGAATATGTCGTCCCACCGGTCCTCCATTCCGAAATCCGACATGCTATATCGTCGTGAAGAACAGAACAACACCCGGTCCAGACAGGATTAGACCAGAACATCTGAAGAATCTGCCGCCAGTTCTCATCAACACCCTGGCTCGGCTCTTCACTCGCTACCTGTAAGAATGCAAGGTCCCTATTCAATGGAAAACCAGCAAGACCGTATTGTTGTTCAAAAAGGGAGACCTTCACGACATAGGCAATTATCGCCCAATCTGCTTGATGTCCGTTGTCTATAAATTCTTTACTCGAATCATCCTAAACAGAATTGACAGAATACTGGACGAAGGACAGCCATGCGAACAAACAGGGTTCCAAAAAGGATTTACTACCATGGACCACATCCACACGATTACAAGACTCATCGAAGTTTCACGAGAGTACAAACAACCACTCTGTCTCACTTTCATCGATCTGAAGAAAGCCTTTGATTCAGTGGAAACAGAAGCAGTTATAGAGGCTCTGTATAACCAGGGCGTCCCTGCTCGGTACATAATGATCTTTTGTGAGCTTTATAAAGACTTGACGACCAAAATATCCCCATTCTACAACAATATCACCATTGAAGTAAGAAGAGGGGTTCGACAAGGCGATACAATTTCGCCAAAACTATTCACTGCCACCCTACAAAACGTCATGCGAATATTAGAATGCATCAGCCAAGCGGATCGAATGTTGACCGATTTCGATAACGCCTGTGGAAAGATTGGTCTTCAACTGAATCTAACGAAAACAATGTTCATAAGGAACGGATGAGTTTCTAATGCCCCATTCACGCTCAACGGAACGACAATCTCCGAATGCTTCAGTTACGTCTATCTAGGTCGTGAAATCAATGTGATGAACGACCTAGCTCCAAAGTTGAGCAGGAGAAAACGAGCGGCTTGGGGAACGTTTAAGAGCATCGAAGATGTAGTGAAGAGAACAAAGAACATACGACTCTGTGCCCACCTTTTCGACTCGACAATTATCCCCGCCTTGACGTATGCAGCAGAAACCTGGTCGCTACGTAAGCAGGATGAAAAAGGCAGTCGAAAGGTCGATGCTAGGAGTATCCCGTATCTCGCAATGAGAGAAAGGATCCGAAGTTCCGATCTACGTCGACGATCGGAAATCGGAGACGCCGTTCTACACGCCAGGATATCGAAAATAAGGTGGGCTGGACACGTGATGCGCATCAACGACAATCGATGGACGAGAGCCGTTACCGACTGGATTCCTCGGGACATCAAGCGCTCTAAAGAAAGACCACTGACCCGCTGGTCCGATTTCTTCACGAAAGCGTTAGAAGAAAGATATGATGCTCTGCGAATCTCTAGAGCGAGGAGGACCCACTGGGCTACTATTGCACGCGATAGGGAAAATGGAAGAGTTGCTGGTACCCGCTCGAGTCACTCGACGATCATCGGGACGACAGGTGATACAGGTGACAGGTGATACCTTTAGCAATTCCTAAGATCGACTGTCTATCAACCTCGGCATGCTTCAAATCCTAATTTTCTTCTTTAAGCCAAACAACATTAGTCTTTATTCAACAGCTGGCGTTTCGTCAGTTCGTCTTCTTTAGAGCTTGGAAATGTGGAATTTTTTGCAATCCAATCAGTCAAACACCTCCATTATTCGTTAGCAAAAATTACCAGACGAAACTTCAATTGCACCAATCACAAAATCAACTTCAAACATACTCACCGTTTTTTGCACGTGTTTCACTGAATATTTAAGTGGAGATCACCGGAAGACGATCACATAGGCTCGCAATGCACCCCACCCATCAAAACAGTAGTCTTATATACTCTCATATCACGTTTGATCACGAGGCATTCCTCCTTGCCGTATGTTTAAAGTTGATTTTGTCCGTGATGCGATTGAAATTAAGTCTTTTGATTTTTTTTCCAAAAGAGTAGTGGAGGTGTTTGACTAATTGGATTACAAAAAACTTGACCTTCCCAGGCTTTGATGAAGGCGAACTGCCGAAACGTCAGCTGCTGAATTAAGATTAATGTAACACCTCGTGTCTGACTCAGGAAGAAAATTAGGATTGTACCTTTATTTCGAGTGTTTTATTAAGATCACGCTAAGTTTCAACATATCTCGTAATTATTACTTGAGCCAACATGCAATGTGGGTCTGAAAGGATTGACGAAAGACGAAGGGTAAAGCACGACTGATGAGACCATCAAGGTCGAAACACGTGCATCGGGCTCTATAGGTCAGCCCATTGAACAGACCACATGGCATGTTGAGTCAAATGATATTTATGACATTTTATACCTTTCTTTTCGAGTGTTTTTATGACCACAGTGCAAATTTGAACATGCCAGATAATCATTTTTAAGCCATGCATGTCACGTGGGTATGTTAAATGGGCTGACTTTTAGAACCCGACACACGTGTTTTGACCATAACGATCTCCCCAGTCGGGCTGTACCCTTCGCCTTTAACCAATCCTCTCGGGACGCCCAGTCCCCTGTAATAAGAGTAGGCGACGACGAACATTTACACTCTATACCCTGTGAAATTATCACCGAATACACAGTGCCGTAATGTGATGAAGATCATTATCAAAAGAAAAACAAATACTTTGACATACTCAGTAATGCAGTGTGAGGTGTAAAATCTTTGCGTCAGTTGGGATTCAAACTCACATTTCACCCTATTCGAGGGCGCGTGCTTAGCGGTTGCACTACTGATGCCGGTTTTGTCACCCGCTCTTTTTTCGCTATAACGCAGCTATAGTGTCAAAATGGGCGTCAGTAGTGCAACGGATGAGAACGCGACCCCAGGTACGGTGAAGTGTGGATCCGAATCCCAGCTAACGCAAAAGTTCCTTCAAATCACTCTACATAACTGGGTATATTATAACACCATGCCACCGCCGAAAGCGAAGAAATAAAAAGAATTCTACTAGCCTATCGAACATGTTGACATTTAACTCAAACTATATAACTCTGATATAGGTTAAACAGTCGAACGTTGACCTAATAAAAATTTAAAACAATCTCGAAACAATCTTGCATAAGCTCATCAATGAAGAAAGATATCGTCAGAACATAGCTAAGAGCAGTGGGAATCGGCAATGCACAAAAACATCTTTAAGCCTGTGTGTAGTTTCAGCCGTTTTAATGGAACAAGGTAATTTACTTATACAACAACTGCTCATCAACACCCCAACATACCATCAATTAGCAGAAGGAATTCGCCTTTGGTCTGATGGTCTTTTCTTCAGAGAACGATGGCTTGGGTATGTTTTTTCTGAGAGTCCCCTCATGAAGATTCGAATGTGAGGAAGGGAAACTGACTGCGGAAATTGTTTACTTCTCTTAAAGAGAGTCCGACTTATAGAGTATTTGGGAGATCGATTTATTGCACTAGAAATTGATTATTGATCTGTTAATAGACCCTGAAATAAGTGCACCATCCAGACGCTCTGTGACTGGTTGATCTCCAATATCTGAACACAGCGGTTCGGATGCTGTCGCTGAGTCCGTTTGGATCGCACTTTTTTTGACAGTTGAATTCATCAATAAAACTCAACTCAGTTTTAGAGTGACTGAAATGAATTATAGGTTTATTTTTATCCGCTTCAGCCTACTAGGCACTAGATGAATAGATTTATTTAAGATTGCGATAATCCATGTGTGCTCCTTACTAATCATTAACAACTCTCCTTACTAATCAATAATAATTTGTACTCAAAGTTTACGATCTCTGTTACTTTAATGAATGAAAAGGTTGAAGACAATGCACACATTCATGCAGATATTCCCGAACAATTTAATCAACTGCATTTACTCTTTTATTCAAGAATGGACTTTTCTCGAGACATAAAACTGATAAGCGACAGTTCAGAATGAGGGAGAAAAGCCCACCCTCGAGGTGAGTGGGAGTACGGTTCATCTGAAAGCACTTCACGTCTGTTAGTTTCAGCTTAATAGCAAAGTAATAAATTCATTCTAATTCAAAGAAGTCGGTGAGTGTCTATGACTCTGGCAACCTGAGCAGATCTCCAATCAAGCCAACTTAAAACTTCAAAAATAACAATTCTTGTTACTCGAAATAAGTGGGTTACCGTGCAACGCACGCTGACTTTTACTCACGACATCGAGCGATGATCACCTAGCAATAGGTGGATGCACAAGACTCTCAAAGTGAGCACACCTACCGTAGACCATAAAAATTGTAAGGTTCAAAATCTTTAGCGATTTAACTGATTTTTCGCAGTGTTATGATGTTTATCAAACATACGAGAATTGAGTGGTGAGCAGAAATACGGCCTCAGACGGGAGTCGAACCCGCGCTTCATCCATACCAGGTGCTCGTGCTACCACTACACCGCCGAGTTACATTCGCGCCACCACTCATTCTTCAGCATCTCTATGACAGCTGTTAGCTACCAACCTTCAACAGGTTTGGTCGGGTATGCAATTTCGCTTTATGAACTCAGCTGAGACAGTCGTTATGGTAAGTAATATTCCAAATCTTTAGTGTTTTTACTGCCTTTTCGCAGTGTTATGATGTTTCATAAATCCCTAAGAGAATTAAGTAGTGAGCAAAAATACGACTTTAGGCAGGAGATGGGACTTAGTGGTAGCACGCGTCCCCGGTATGGATGAAACTCGGGTTCGACTCCTGTCTGAGATCGCATTTTGTTCATCTCTTAGGGGTTCATAACGACTGTCTTCTCCTCTAAAATACAACACCAGAACTATCTCTTTATATGCCTGCCTTCATTCTCTTCTTAAGGCAATTGTCGCTTTTGATTTAGTGTGATTCCGTACAAGAGCGAAGAGCAATATATTCATCATGAGCTAATGAGTTGACAAAACCTTCTTCACTTGTAAAGGAAAATTTCCGTGAAAAGAGGATGGTTTCAGAATTGTCGTACACCGATGCGTTTCCCATCAAAACACGTTTTAGATCCTATCACGCCGCTTGTCCATCTTTATGTCCAGTCTCCGTTTATAGAGAGAACTAGTACAATCAGTTGCTACCTGCCAAAATTCCACAACTAGCTGGAAAATGTAATCCGTAATGAAAAGCGCTTCTATGATTGCATTATTGAAATTTGCAAGACTGATGTTGAAGAGGCTGATGAAAATAAAAGCAGGATATTCGCAATTGAAATAAACAAAATTGAGAATGAAAGCCGTTTTGGAGGATTTCTGCTCATAATACATATTTTATATGGAAATTCATTTTTAAACAAGAGAATTTTCCATGAACTGCAGAGCTCATGCGAAGATCATTCATATTTCTATAATCGGACGATGTGCCTTCCAAACAATTTAGTTCTGATTGGACTGTGTGCTCAAATCGATACCGTCTGTTTTACGAATGCTTTGTTCAGTCTCAAACTGGAGAGCAACTGGTGTCATGGTTCAAAAAAGACGGGGCATGTCGTGTGTAACAAAAACGTTCTCTATAAATTCCTCTGCTCAACTGTGGGGCAAACGAACAAAGCGATCTTCTGGAGAGGAACTGGTGTCATAGCTCTATCAATGGCTACAAGCTTTTAGAGAATGATTTGAATCTAGCCCCAGAATGGTGTACTTTCCTCAAGCAAAGATTTCGAGAGCATTTTCGATATCACTGGAGAGTTTTCCGGAACTAGAAAGAAATGCAACAAATATTTGACCACATAAAGAGTAGACTAAGTGGTATTATTCTTGTTTTTCTGCCGCCAAGTGAATCGACTTGAGTCGTGTCAGAGTAACTGCTCATCCTTATATGTAACCTGAGAGAATTGCTACGTGGCGAACAGTTAATTGTAGTGATTGGGTTGATAATAGAGTGGTTGATTATTCAGAACATAAGAAAGCATTGCGGTGATCTGATATGCTTCTTGGGCGCTCTCTTCACTCATTCACTCCACTACTAAGAAGATTTTTATGCTGGTAAAGATGGAATTTTACCAAAGAGACTCCTATCGATAGGTTCTTAGTAAAAAATTGTCCAGGAGCTGTCAAACACTGCATTTTTCATTGACACATACCACATCGTGGATAAAACTAGTATTAAGCATTCTTATCTTGTCTTGTTTTCATTATTAATGTTCCTATCTTCCCAAATGGCTTAACGCCTCATCGTGGCTGGGTGTCGGATTGCAAAGTACAGCAGAAGCCTAACCCCTACTAGGGCCACCACGGTGAGAAAGAGTCTGTATCCACTCCGAAAACCCAATTAATAGTAAACCGTGCAAGAATGATGGTCGTTTTGGTAGCTAGTAGTCGCAAGGAGGTGATATTTCTCTAATCCAGAAAAGCCGGCGATCGCTCTAACGTGGTGACGATCTGAGAAAGCCTTGGCTAGGCTTACCTCGGGATCCCAGGATAAAAACAGCTAAACTAGCACACTTTCGTGTGCTGGAGTCCGCGCAACTTGTGGAGGCGAATTTTCCAGATATCCAAGTGTTAGTTTACTTCTAATCAATTTATTTTCCACTTTTCATGAGAACAACAAATTGCCGTTGTGCATTGATACAAAAAATACATAATCAGTAGTCATTAACATAATCAGTTCCTATTTCTGAAGTCAACTAATACGACACAAATACTCTTGTTTTGATAGCATATGAGCCAGTGCAGCACACATAATAATTGTAGTGATTGAAAATTTGAAAAGGTCTGTTTGTTAAGAATGGTTGTGCACATAGGATTTGATGCCGTTCAGCAGAAACTCTTGGAAATTTCTCGATTTCCAGAGTAGTTCAAGATTATAGATCCGATAGAATTATAGAACACACTTCGTCTGTATAGTAAGCATCACCTATCGTAGGGACTTTTATCCTTAGATATGCGCACTAATTATACGTTATTTGCGTACTTTGTCATCTGAATGCCGTCAAAACTATTCTCTCTACCTCGTCTATTCTAGTAACGTCAATGTGGCCCGTTGTCGCCTCCCACCAACTACTCCAGAGGCTTCCTGGTCCACGTACTTGATTCCATTGGGTATCTCCTGCACTTCTACAAGGTGAGTAAATTCTCGTCTGCATGATTTGTTCTATTGCTTGGTCTGATTCAAATTTTCAGCATTACTGAATGCACTGAAGAGTTTAATTTTTTAGTGTTTCAGAAAAATTCTCTGCAAAAAGACACCATCTCATCTCAAATACTAATAAACGGTGCGAATTTTCCATGTATTTCTGCTTCGCTATACCTGATTTGTCCTAGCTTAGTTCTACACATCTATTATTGCGAAGACTCAAAACTGACAACTCGATAGTGTGTTGACGCGGCTATGACTATTTTTTACAAAATATCATGACTTTATTTTGGCAGTAGATTATGTTAGCCAGGAATGTTATAGACGCTTTATATTCTGCGATATGAGTGCTTGATGAATAGGTGTGCAGGCATTGTTAAAGTACTGGTATTGACCGTAGATCGTAATTTGGAATTAGAGTGAGAAGTTGTTATGAATTTCATACAGAAAGGATCAGTTGCTTGCAGACTGATGCACATCTGTCAATCGTAGAAGTCGTAAGAAGTACAACTAAGTAAATGTTTCAAATCTCAAACATCAGTAATATCAAATATTAGATTACGAAGAGCAAACATATCATATGTTATAATCATATGTGATTCTTGGATTCTGTGTAAGACCAATGTTGTTAGGACACCAATAGTGGGAGATGTTCATTACTGAATGAATATCTTCAGCAAAGGCTTCACAACATCGGTAAAGTGTTTAAGTATTTCATACCTTTCGTTTCGAGTGTTTTCTTAGGACCACGCTCAAATTCAAACATAACTCGTAATTATTATTTGAGCCAACATGTCATGTGTTTTGTTAAAATGAGCTGACTGATAGAGCCCTGCAGACCATTATATGATACGTCGAGGTCGAAACACGGGTATCCGACTCTATAAGTCAGCCCATTTTAACAAACCGCATGACATGTAGGCTCATATAATAATCACGACATGTGTCTAAGTATTCACACGGATTGCGAAAGTGTTCGCTTTCCAAAAAGTACTCAACACTTTGATGAATGTGATCTCGATAATGCCATGCTCCTACTAGATGCTGAAAACCGTGTATGTAAGTTATATGTAGAACTCGTAGATTGTAGAGTTTATGTTTTCGACTCAAGTTAACACCACATAATTTGGAAATGTGCGCAATACTTACGGGAACTGCGTTGCTCTCTCAAGGGTATGGTTTTCATGTTGTAAAGTAGAGATTTCAACGACAGGATAAACATTACTCGATCCATTCATGACTCGATGGCCTTTTACTTTTGAATAGACATAAAGGATAAAGGATAAAGCTCTCGGCGTTGATCAATCCCTGAGGGATGCGCCATGCATTCGACTTCAGTTTTTAACTTCGTTTTTGAGGTGATTGAATGCACATCCGGCCTTTACAATGACTCGCGGAGGCCTCCCGCTGAACCGAGTGAGTGTTGCTTATCCTCCCAGACAAGTCTGAGACCTGCCTGGTACCAATTTACCGACCCCGAAAGGATGGATGGCTTGGTGAGCCATGAGCGCGAGGTCGAACCAATGACCTCGTGTGCGACGCAGGGCACCTCTAACCACTGCGTCATATGCGCTCTTAAATAGACATAAGCCGGAAAAATACACAGTTTATTTCAATGTTGACTTTACGTTCTAGCCGATCGTTGCAAATGCAGAAAAGAATTGCGAGGAAAACGGACCAGATGCCAACATTCGAATCGTTCTGTTCACTATACTCTGCCACATCTGTCTGGACCAATTCGCCATGATGATATTTGTAGTCTACACAGATTTTTTTTAGAGCGAAAGTCTAAGACTACTTAAGTAACTCAAACCGTAAGACTTCCTGTGATTGACAAGTGCTTGTTGTCGATTGGTGCGATTTTCATGTTTCCTTCTATCTTACACTTTTCTCCGCCTCCATTCCCCGTTCCAGTGCACAAGGCAGTCACCGTGTTGCCGATGACGATGCAATGTGGTAGTGGCATCATGGCATCGGGAACTGTAATTAGCTTTATGTTCAATGACATCATGAGTAAGAACTGCAGGTAGCTTTTTATTCAACTGCTTGTTGAAACAGAAACTCAGACATATACGACATTAGGTTCTTGCAGCTGAATTTCACGTTTTGCTTATTTGTATCACTTCACAATATGATGATTTGGCAGAGATATTGTATGCTGCAGCTGAGGTGAGAAATACGATGTTCTATCAGTATTCTTTCTTTTTGGCCCTGTAAAGTCTGTCGTTACAAGTGTGATGCAACTAATACTTATCTTACTATAGCCGCGATAATATCACATGCATTCATATCGATCAACTAGGGAGTTTGAGGCGCTTCACCGCCACAATATGCACACTTCTGAAACTGCTTGTTGGG